AATCTAAGATGCAGGGACTAAATTGGTAGCAAATGTATTGCCTTCAACTTGCCCCTTGGCCTTAATGCGTTTTTCAAGTGCTCTGCTCACTGTGCTCCAATGATGCAGGGATGGCTTGCCTCTGAAATAATATTTCAACAGTGGTTACAGACGCAAAACTGGCGCCATCTCTCAGCTTGGGTTGTTCCCACCAAAGTGCAGCATAAGGGATTTTCATTTTATTTCTGGGAATATATTCACTTTCCTGTGTAGTGGTAGTGGCCTTAAGTTTAAGAGAAGCAGGCTCATGGCTTTAAGGTTGCAGGTTTGAATTCCCCGGCTTAGCGACAAAACACAATCCTCCTTCCTCATTTAATAGCTATACCATTGCCTTTGAGCCAAGCATCACACTGTATCTGCAGTGGAGCTGTGCACTGGCTTCAGTGGGAGGCTGCGGTTGTATTGGGTGGTTGTATTGGGTTCCTCCCAGGTTGGATAATGTAACTGTGTGAGTGTGATGCAGGGCGTTACTGGGGGGGAAAAGAAGCACATGCACAAATTACCTAGAAAGGCTACAAACAGACATTGGCTCAGATGCAACCAAGCCACCCACACAAAGCCCAAAACTGAGCTACTGAGCAATATAAACAAATTGAAAAAGCCCTAGTGTGTTAATGAGAAATCATTTACTCGTATGGTTCAGTCATTCTGGTCAGCCATTTTGCAAAAATAATTTCTACTAAGTTTGAGATCAATGCCTCAAAGATGTTTACTTGAAGGCTGAATTGTTGTTTTTCCGCAGGAAAACACTTGACCATCTCATTTTCATTTTAATGGCTCAGTGGAGTCCCATTTACTCTCCGCTTTCCTTCAGCCCAACAGGCTCAATAAAAGTCAATGAGCTGATGAAAACAGGAAAACCTAGCTGTTGTCCTATGCAAACAGCATATGGTTTTTTGAGTGTGGCTGCACATGGCCGCACTCCTTCGTCTTCATTTTCAACTCGTCCTCTTACCATCTGGGTAATTATGAAGTTTCAGATACCCCAGCTGTCTACTTTCGCGAGTTCACTACAGCTTTAATGTATATGTTATTTAAGAAAGCTGTACATGCAGTGTTAAAGCCAAATGATTCCAGATTAGCCTTCTAACTTTAAAATCCAGGTTCAGTTAAAAAATAAGCATCTTAGAAGAGTAAATATTGTTTGAAATAATGTAATTTAAATCTATGGGAACTTGCACACAAAAAAAAATCCTCTATCATTTCCTGAAACCAGTCATAGGGATATTCAAATGGCAGCAATTCAGCATTTGGCCTGTTTACAACCAAAGTCACCTTTTGTGTATTTTATGGTCAAAGGGGATTCATGTGGTGTGGATAATCTATAGCAGCAGATTTTTGGCCTTAATATTCAGATAGTTCTGCAGCACATGTTGGGCATTGTCAGCAAGGACTTGAGAACGAATAATATAAATTAGTTTAATAGTCAATTAATATTTGAATTGTTTGTGAAAGATGAATGGGCATCTGAAATATTTGATTTACAAGCAGAGCGTCGATTTGATCCTCTAAAAAAATAGCCAATGTTGATATGGAAAACAATTCAAGTCCATTTTTTAAATGTACAAGATTTAAGCAGAAGACATCTGGCAGTATCCAAGACTGAGAACTTTATGTATATTGTGTTTTATGAATGACAATAAATGGGTTAAAAAAATGTTTCCAAAAAAGTGGTAGACCACTGTGAGCACAGTCAAGATGTGGTATATTACCACCAGTAAAGCCGTCACAAAATAGCATGGACTTACAAGACTAACACCGAGCAAAAACAACTGGAACTGGTAACAGGGAAGTTATTTGGTTTAAAAAAAAAAGGCGGCTTTTGTTACTATGGAAACACAAGCAAGGCATACTGAATAGCTAGGTGTCGCTTGACAGAATGTAGCTAACATTAGTCTGGGGCTCACAGTACAAAATACGCTTACCTTCAGCTCAGGACGCTTACTTACAGTAAGTAGTTTGCACTCAGTCCTCCTCTTTATCCTCATGAACGTCTTTTCTATCCTACAACATGTTTGGCGTCAAGTTGTCCTCCACTGTGTTAGCAATTAGCATTCTCGTCTATCGTCGCTCCCAGGTCCTCCACTCTCCCTCGTAAAGCGGTCCGCCATTATCAGCTAGTAAGCCTGAACACTTTAAAAATAAAACGAACTCATTGTATTTCATCGAAAATACCTGACGCTGTTAGTATCTTCTAGACTAAAAACTACGAAACTACGCATGTTTGTAGTTGCCCCAAACTTGCATTCGGATATACAAAGAATGGAACCAATCAATCAAGTAAGTTCAACTTCACAGCCAATCAGGTGACCGGAAGTCAATAGTACATTCTTCATAAAGTTGGGAGAAAAGTTTGTTTTTATATATATGTTTGGTTTTAAGTTATGTATTGCTTGATTGTTGTTTTTTTGATTGTTGTTGTTGTTGCCTCTCAGCACCCTGTCTCCGTTCAGACTTGAAGCTGTTTGTAACTTGCTGATGTTGTCCAGAACCTTGCTTGTCTTGTAGGCTACTTAATCTCTGGTGTATATTTCTTTGGACAAAAGCAACTGCTAAATTAAACTGTAGAATTATTGTAGAATTGTAAAACTGGGCCTACTTTAATGTGTGCTTAGCCTACCAGACGGTTTGACAATTTCATTACAGCACAGGAGACTTTATTGAGTCTCTGCAGGAAGGTTACATGGCAACCATAAAATGTGTTTTTTGTACATATTAAAAAAATATGAAATTACACATTGATAAGTGAGTCTTCAAGGTGGAAAGGTTCATTTGTTAATATTTGACGGTTCCGGGCTACCTGTTTTCAATTTTGTTCTAAACTGCTTACTCTCTCCTGGCTGTAGCTTTAAATTAAGCATGAAATTCCATGTCTGCTTAAGATAGTCTCTGATCCCGTTATGATGGGGGGAAATGTTGCTTTTGCTCGCTGAAACATCTTCCAACAAACAAACATTTTATTTTGTTGATGCCCAGACCAGATTAAAAACATAACCAAATGTGTAAAGCAATTTTCCTCATCTTCTGCATGAATAACACATTCCCAACTAGAAGGTCTTTATTTGACCGAGTTATTATCTCTGATATGTCCCCTTCCCCAAGGCAAAGTGAAATCAATGGCACAGTTATAAACATCTGTCACATCAGATTGAACTCAAGACAAGGGCTTCCGAAGATCCTCGTATATTGTAAGGGTTTTAGGCTCTCTCTTTTTACAGTTTCATATCTTGGTTGCAGGTTGTGATACTGACAGCATGGAAGTAATGGGATTCAGGAGGTTGTCTTCCCTGGTTCACCTTGAGGGGCTCAGCCTATTACTCTCAGCCAAGCCTTGAGGCTTTCTCTCCGATAGGTCAAGATAAGAAAGTTGTATTGTTTGTTATATATCTGTAAACAGTAAATCGTTTCTGTCAAATCTGTGCATTAACTAAAAAAACTGTTGATGAAATGTGTGGCCACTGTTCTGAAGCTTAATATGTAGTGTGTTTTTCTTTTGATTCGTCAACTGAGCTGTCTAGTTTTTTAAAGTGGAATGAGACATTCAAAGATGCAGCAGTGCTGTTCTTTTCCATCACTGTGACTACAGGGAGACATGTGCGGAGGCTTATCTACAGAAATAGCATGTGATTAATAGAATGTGTGCATTAATTACAGACGTTCATTAACTGTGACTAACTAGTTAATGTTGACAGCCCTAATACATATTTATAAATATATTTTTTGGGAACTCACGGAATGGATCAAATCAAATAAGTGTCACAAAGTTGTGTTACTCCATATTTGCTGTCGGTCAGTTTTTATAGCCAATCTGCATTGAAGATGATTGCTGCAACTTGAATAATATTAATTTCAGCTGTTTCTGACTGTTCAAACTATGACCACTAGATGGCGTACAGATAAACATAATAAACCTTAACATATGGTTGTTGAAGTCATTATTTCGGCTTTATAAATCAATGAAAACTTAGACTTTTTTTGATTTGTTTTATCTATATGACCTAGTTTTGCCTTGCACTTTTTCTTTAGGACATTTTCTTAACTGATTCCGTTTTCATTTTGATTAAAGAATTACAATTGTAAACTGTGGAACAAAAGAATACCAATACAGAAATACTATAAATCAGCACAATATTTTACAAAATATGTTGCATGTGGCTTAACTGAAATGCTCAAGCATACCCCAGAATAAAAATAAATGATTTTTGTTGTTCCAGTCTTTTCTGTTTGATTTGGAGTGATGTGTATTTGCTTTTGTTACAGGTTATTGTAATCATTCATATTTAAATGTGTTTTTGTAAGATTTCTGTCAGGTTTAAATCATATACTGTATAGAATCATATGGTTTTAACACATTGAACGGTATTTTGCTGCCCTCTACAGGAAGTAAAATATATGGCAGGTCTCCAAAGCTGCTCATCTTTTTTAAGTGCATTGTACCATATCCCAGCTTGTGTAGATTTTATCATGAATAATTTCTGATAGTAAACTAAGACAGTGAAAATGATTTAATACAAATATATATTTTATTACAAAAAAACCAATCATAATAATAATAATGGGGAGGACCAAAAAACAGAGTTCCCAAAAAAGTAGACAAATTAATGTTTTGGAATAGACTTCTGCAAATTCCACATGGTTTTAACAAGCTGCAGGTGGACCAGTGATGGCATTCATTCCTTGAAAATAATCACTAACTATTTAATCCTACTAGGAAAGAGGTTTCAGTGTAATGTTAAGCCATCCCTGCAAAGCGTGATAAAAACGTTGAAGAATTGACATACTTCAAGACAGAAAAAAAAAACATTAATTTGTCTGCTAACATAAGCCAACATTATACTCAGCGGAATAAAGACGCGGGGTTCTTTTCTTAGTCATCCCTTGTCCCAAGTTAACCAGAGTCATGAGAGTGGAACCATGTTTAGTTCAAAAATTGAAAATTGTTTTTATAGTATTATTTTTTTAAGTAAAAATCTGAGATAAAAGTACAATACAAGACCACACCCTTATAACAGGAACTAATCACAAACAAATATCTAGGCATTTCATCCTTATTTTTCTGAATTTGGCTTTGAAAACAGTTTACTTGAATGTAATATAGACTTTACATGTCTAATAGAAAATGACTGTTTCTGGAAGTAAAAAGTAACACTATAGCTAAACATGTTCCTTGACTTAAAACAACTTTCAAGACAAATTTGAAAGGGTCCAAAATGTTTTTGTTTTTTTTTCATTTACATGATTTGTGATAAACTCTTATCTTCAGAGCGCTGGATTTTCCAGTGTGTCTGAGCCACTAACTGGTTTAAATCCTGGTCTCCACTAATAGACTGTTTGGGCCAGTATGAGGTTCTTCTTTGACACAATGTCTGTTTAACAAACGTTTTGTGTACTGAGAGCTAAATACGCCGGACCTCCATAAACTGTACAGTTTATAAGTCTCAGTCACTGTCTGAAGAGTCACTGGAGCTTGATGAGGAAGAAGACGACTCCTGTTTCCTCTTCTTCTGTTTCTTCTTGTGGTTTTTCCCGTGTTCCTTTTTGTTCTTTTTGCTTTTCTTCTTGTGGCTTTTGAGTTTCTTTTTCTTTCCCCTCTCCTCTTCTTCAGATGAGGAGTCAGATCTGCTCTGTTTCTTTTTCTTCTTTGTGGTCCTCCCATCACTTGACGATGAAGCAGATCTGAGGAGTAAAACATTTGAAAGTAAAGAAAATATAATACACATAATTTAGTTAATGTGTTATTGTAAAAGATCATTGAATACCTTTAGTTTGTTTTACTTTACATAGACACTTCCACCATGTAAATTACTGTATAAAACTAAAGTGGAATACAGGTAACCGAGGGTAACAAAGGGTTCGATTCATTTGATTGATATTTAAATCAAAGACATTTTCCTTTTTCTTTTTTGCTTTTGCTGTCAATAATCGAGCTTTAAAGACAGAAAATCGGTATCGACAGGTCAGACCAAGTGAAAATCGGTGAATCTCTACAAAAAATGTCTTGAACAACGACAATATTTCAAAATGGTTACCTCTTTCTTGAATTCCTGTCTCTGCTCTTCTTCAGTTTGCGCCTCTTAAGTTTGTCATCGTCATCATCATCAGAACCTGCAAAACAGAACAGTCCAGACTTGAGTAACTGGAACAATGGCTGCTTATGGATTTAAAGTCAAGAAAAAAAGTGTATCTGATAGTATCAAACTAAAGACTTCCCCCACTGGCACATTTGTGGCTACTGCGTCTGCTCATCAATGTTCACATTTCCAAGATTAGCCAATACTGTATCACCTTTTACTTCTGCTTTTATCAGTTGATATTCAGCTTGAGGGAGTCACTTTTTTTTTGTTGTTGTTGTTGTTTTTACCTCTGTGTTGCTGGGCACCTCGCCTCATTTTCACGGTGCGCTGAACCACAGGCGAGTCTTCCTCACTCTCCTCAGTGCTGGTGCTGCTCACATCCAGAACGATGTCTTTCTGTGGGTCAACTCTGACAAAGTTTCGACACTCAAAGGTCAAGTGGCCCGCTGAAAATGTTTAAACACAGGAGAGAATAGTTGGACAACTGCGACAAGACTTAAAACCCTTAAACGTTTTCAAAATTCACATCAAAAACCCTTCCTACTGATGCACGGACATGTTGACGTTGTCTCCAGTGACGTATGTTCTAACAGTTCTGCACATTGATGATCATTCAACTCCTCACAATAACCATTCTGGATTAAACATGATTAAACATTTACTTAAACAAACCCACATTTAAACACAACAATAACAACAAAGAGACTAAAGCAACACATGCAAACATACTCAAAGACCACGATCCCCTCAGACTGAAGACTCAAAAACAAAAACAAGAATGAAGCTCATGAGTCAAAGCTTTACTTACGATATCCACATTTCTTGCATCCAGCTCTGATGTTGTCCTTATTAGGACCTGTGAATGAACACATCAAGATAGGTTTTTTTTTAAAAACTGTACTATATACACTCATACCGTCACATATAAACATCTATATTCATGTATATGACTATTATCTTAATATTCATGTTGTACGTGTTGAGTTAGCTAAAGTCTCATTTCGTTTTATGAATTGCTGAATAGCTTACATGACAAGAGGAAATAACTAAATAAAGAACCGAATATGAAACATTTTCTTTTGAGTTTGAAGAACATTAGAAGCTGAAGCTACTTGTAGAAATGTGTTTAGAAATGGGTATCAAGCTAACGATAACATTAGCACTGGGTGCTTTTGATACTCATTGCAACTATTCAGGCTCATAAATGAATAAATGACTGTTTTAACTCGAGTTAAATTATAAATTAATTAATACCTGGTTCAGCCATATTATTTTCCACAAAAAAAAGCCGAAGAATTACAAAAAATGTGGTTGCGAGCGCGCAAATTCACCAATCTTCACACGAGTAGACACTCAAAACAATGTCGACCGGAAACACTAGTTCTAGAAACTTCAGTGTTTCCGGGCTACTTCTTCCACTGTTCCGCAAACCGAGATAGTCGCCCACGACCGCCACCTATTGGACCGGAGTATGTGACGTAACAATGCCTTGGTTTGAGGATATTTTTAAATACATAATTTATAATTTTTTATATATATTTTTTGCTTTTTGCTTTTTGCTATATTTTTCTATAAAACAAACGAATCATGAAAGCTTTATTTTTTTATTCTCTGTTTTAAATATTTGACTTCTCATTACTCATACTCAAAAATTACTCAAAATAAAGCTTTAAAATTGATTTATAGCCATATCCTGAAGATGCTTCAATTTCTTCATCATTAGGCTACATTAATAACTCAATAAAAGCATATTTGGAGTATTGTAATCATTCATATGTTTATTTGTGTGTGTTAAAAGATTGCCCAAAAGTATGATGCCATATGCTCTGGAAAATAAAGACAGCCGCACAGTGAATGTCTATTAAAAGCTATTTGCTCTGCTCCTCCTGCAAAGCCCTGATCCTGAGTGATTCCATGCATCGAGATACTCTATTAAAAAATTTGGAGGAATTTTCAAAAACAATATTTGCCCCCGTGCTTGATTGCTTTCCCAGTAAAGCATTTGTGGTTTTTAGTTAGGGGTTAATTGAAGGCAGCCAGAGTCAGGCTGGCAGATGGAAAATGTCGACAGATGCAGGGCCCCCAGACATGCCCTCACCATCATGTCTGTGACTGTGAAACACACAAAAACATAGAAGCTCACACACACACACACACGCACGCACGCACGCACGCACGCACGCACGCACGCACACACACACACACACACACACACACACACACACAATCTTAGTTTGGGTCTTCTGATCATGCCATCTGCCTCAGTGACAACTCTGCCAAGAATAATACTGTTATTAACTTTATTTACAATAAAAACTGATACAGTTGCAGTCAGTGTTGTGTAACCAGATGATGCCTCAAGATAAGCTGCCTCACCGCTTTGCATTCCACACAGCAGGAGGACTTTGATCCACTACACCTCGCCTTTTTCTCTTCTGCTCTTTTAGTCCCCTCACATGCTTTGAAACACATGACTGCGTGTGTCATGTATTATTCTGTTTTGGCAGGAAATGCACTGTGTTGAGCCATGAACAGATTTACCTGCATATCATGGATTCCATAAACAGAAGTACAGAAATTGAACAGGTTATTACAGTATTCTTTTAAAAGGTTTTCCTCTTAAGTCTTGTAAAATTGCTGATTATCATGTCGTGCAAAAGACTGGAAGTTCCCAGGATTTTATTCCGCAGGTCTATAGGGAAATTTTCTATGATCGTCATAGTACCTTTGTGTTTTTTCTGTTTTAATTATAGTAATTGTGTTTTTGTTTTATTTTTGTCAAAATACTGTAAAGCCTTCCTCCAGGCGTGTGGAAAAAAGCTTCAGTCCATCATATCTGAGCCTGTAAAGAAGCATTAGAAATTTTGCAATGTAATGATACAGTTCAAGGGAGTGAACTTTATCTCTGTGGGGGTTTATTGCCTCAGGTAAGAGATTAAAACAAAGGGTTAACCTGTGCAGGGGTTGGCTGCACGGTTACTTCTATACTGCACAGAAATGTTTAATTCCCTGTTCAGCCACTGGATGGTGCAAAGAACGCTCAAAAAGAGAACTTAAAGAGAGAAATGTATTGTTTTATGTTGAAATGAATGAGTTGTGATTCCTGTGGCAATACAGACACATACACAAAAACAAAGCCAAAAAAGTAAACTGCATAACACACAGTCACAAGTTTATAACATTTAGCCTCTGCTCAGTCGACACCAGCACAGTGGAAGAAATGCATACCAGCAGTCTGAGAGAGATGAGGGCTCCTAATTAACTGTGTATATCAAGTTACATCCACTTCATACAGTTTGACTCAGAGTAATCTGAAACTGTTATTCCAGATGTCTTACAAGCTTTAGTCTCATGACCTGCGCTTTCACTCACACATGTCTTTCTCTAATATCTTCATTCCATTTACAGTAAAACAATATTTATGTCATTTGTCTTTAATGCTTTGTTGCTAGCAGGTTATAAGTCACAGTCCTGCATTTTAAATGTAAGGAAAGGGTACCCACAAACTAAAGCTAAAAAGATATAACCTTAAATGTATTCATGAAGCTTTTAAGGGACCATGTAAAAAAAAAACTTAATCTCAAGAAAAAACTAAGGGTGTATA